GCATGGAAGTGAACTAGAATAAATTCAGTCACAGCCAAATGCAAGCCCATGCTGGAACTGAGTAAAAGCATTTGTTTGGTCTGATTTCCTCATTCTAAATCTGCATAATTTCCTACTTTTCAATGTGTGAGTTTGCTCCCCAAACCCCATCCTTGGTGAGCAAGATTAAAAAAAATTAATGATTGGTCATAAGGCGTATTAAATGCCAGAACCTGATGTTCAGACAACTGTATTTCTTTAAAGGTTCTTAGCTTGGTAACCTTTAGGTATTTTGAAATTTTGTGTTATTTGAGATAACTTTTATCTTATGCAGTAGATTTTCTAAGCATTTACATTAATTTAGTTTGAGAAGTTAATTTGGAAAGCACTAGAAAGAATTTGGAAAGCACTATACGTCTTAATATATATATTGTCATCTGTACAGTGCATATATATGTAAGAAACCCAGTGTTTATCCAGCAGTGTGTCTTGACAGGTGTTATTCAGGTGCTGTTGTAAAAAGAAATAAAAATACAATTTCTTATCTTCTCGAAACAAGTAGAACTTTTTATGTGTTGCAGGCAAAATTCTTTAAATGTATTTAGCATTTAAAGGTATTCTCTGATCCTAAGAATACCTTTATTTAGATCACATTACTAGTTAGTGTTAGTACTGAAATGTCAGTGTTGCCTACGTACAACTTTGCCAGCTTAATACTTATATCTCCTATATATATTTTATATGTAGGAAAGGATAATTTTTGCATTGAATTGATAGATGATTAACAGTTAAAATGTCTGACTACACCGTTGTCATAAAAGTACACTTTTAAAAATCTATCAAAATGTTTTAATTGTTTATGTTGCTTAATTGAATAACCTGGTTGAATAGCTAGTGTAAATTGATGTTGCTCCAACAGAATGATGGGAGCTGTACTGTTTGATGAATTAACCTTGTTTTGAAATTACTTTCAGAAATAATAGTTCATGTTTTGAAAAATTTCTTACAAACCTGCCTACCTACCTTCTTTTTAGGGGCAGTCCTAATTAAACAATTCAGAAGTTTTTTGCTGTGTTTTAACTCTCGCTGGGACTTCTACTCCCAACCTCATTCAGGATTAAACTGCAAAAAATATAACTTAAGTCCTTCTTATACTGAGTGGAATTAACTCTATGAGGATTCCTGCTGAAATGATCCTGTTAAATAATATAACCTTTGCTATAAGCAGAGGAACTGGGGTTTGAGTCCCAATACACAGCCTTGATAGTGTGCAGTGAATGCAGTGCAAAAATAAGAACAAAAATGAAAAGCAAAATGCTAGCTCAGTCACAGAGCAATATTCACACAGTGCAATGAACGGGATGAGATCTTGTGAGGAACAAATTCTGAAAGGTGACTTTTTTATTTCCTTACAATGTATTGTGTTAAGGTTGTGCTTGGTTGCTTTACTCAAATTCCTTAATGTTTGCTATAGCTTGCTGGGAAGGTATAAATAACAGCATTTTATATCCTGTAGTTGGATTACCAGCTAAAGAAAGAATTCATGTTTATCCTCACTAGTTTATATGTTACAGAGATTATAAACAAAATTTTACATCTTTAAAGAGATCTTCCATAAATACAGTGGTAAGTATCTTGTAGGGAGTAGTACACAAGAATTATTGTTAGGGATAAACTTTATCTAACTTAAAATGATCTTTCAAGTAAATTGTTCTGAATTTCTTTTTAAATAATATATTCTTTGGTAGTATTGGCAAGAAAAAAATTGTCTGAAGCTGTTTAATACTAGTTTTTTTTTCTCCCTTGAACAAGTGTTTTGAAGAATTGCAAGAGTAGAATTTAATGATGTATTAGATATTACACATCTTAAAAGCAGTGAAGGGGAGACTGTGGAACTTATAAGGACATTTCAACATCTGAAGCTAGAGGTCAAGCTGGCTGGTTGAATTTGAGATGGCTATGTTGAAATCTGTTTGCAAGGTAACAAGTCCTAATCTCTTAATTTCTAGGCTAATGTCATTCAGTGCGGATTGCTTCAGTAAATATTAACATATACTGGAATCGCTTTTTATTCTTTGTATCCATCATGAACATTAAAAAAATTAATTCAGTCTTTAAAAGTTATATAATTTTTAAGTGCTAGTGTCATTTGTTGCTACTTTTTCATGTGCAAATTTTGATTCGAATGAGATTGTTTTTGAATGGTGCTGGAACCAGATTAATCATTCTATTATTAGAAAATACACTCAAAGTTAGGTATAAGTTTAAATAAGATGATGAGCAAAATTAAAAGCTCTGGGATTTTTCTGGAATGAATAAATGAAAAAAGGTTTCACTTTGGGAAAATAGGGGAATAGATGAAAACAACCTTTTGGTCTAACTAAATTGTATTTGTACTTGTTTTCGATTTTCATTGTAGATGGAACTAGACAATTCAAAGTACCTGATGGCCAAAATCATTGTAGAAAGTGTTGTGAAATCAGTTCTCAGAAATTTGGTGTGATCACTGTGTTCATGTTAAGTCATTTTGGGCTTTGTTGAGACATTCCTTGCGATGTCGCTATTATAGAGTTGAACTTGAGGCTGAATCTAGACACAAATTTATTTTTTATTCTCAGCAGTCTAATCTAGATTAATTCTAAAGCTGAATATTGCCTGTTTTCACATGTAGTTATAGTGTTCTTTTTTCTGTCTAGATCATTGGGGATGCACTTGATGCTTATCCTAAAACTCCATGTGTTGGTAGTGTAAGAGAGTGGCCTGGACAAATAGGGATTTTTTGTCTATCCCAAACTTTCTGGACAATGCAAATACAGATGGCTATTAGAAATGGTCAAGGGTAAAAATATTTTCAATTTAAATTTATGTCAAATTGATACAATGTAGTAGTAAATCAGAGCTTTGAGAATAACTTTTTTGAGTGAATAGTTGTCATATCAGTCGAGAGAACTTCTACAGTATTGTATTTTTGGATTCTCCATGTTCATGTATAGCTGAGCTATACCACAAACACAAAGTTAAATCTAATCTAATCTTTAATCCATATATGGAGCAATATTTAAGGTTGTGTAACATTTTATGTTTATTCTCAAATTGAAGCAATGACTCCTGTTAATAGTGGTTTTTTTGAGCAACTGCATTCTGACATGCAAGGAAAAAAAGCTTCCAAGTGTCTTGGAAGAGGGAATTAAAGGAAGAAGAGGACAATATCTGCTAATACAAGGAGTAAACCTTGCAACATGTCTAAAGATTTGAAATTATTTTCTTTTTCCAGTAATAAATGAAATCCTCCATTTCCTGGGAAAAGAAATAAGGCTTGTGCTTACTGTACTATTTATCCTCAACTGGTGAAAGGCTTTCAGGAAGGGAGACAGAAATTCTAATCTTACGGATTTTAGATTTTTTAAAAAAAATCAAAACCATACTCAGCTTAACAAGCTTGTAGTTAGTGACTAAAAGAGGAAGTTAGCAAGGGTTAAATTAATTTGCTTTTGGGAATGTTTGTTAGAGAATTCTGAGTCTAGATAAAAGCTCTTGTGCTGGTCTGTATCAAGCCTTTTCTGTACATGAGCAGGCAGGAAAACCTGTCCTTCCTGTAGCTCAAATTCTGTTGTAATGGGAATACTGCTCATCTGGCTTCAGGCCAGAGAATCTTCATTCTGCAGTGGAAAGCAGCTTGTATGTAGTGAAGAAGTGGAGAGGTACTTGAATCTCCTGACAATCTGTCACAAATCTGGCAGGGAGAAGAACTCTGTCTTCCAGCCTTTGATGTTCTTTCTCTTTTCCATTCCTATGTTGTAAATCAAAGACACATGATAGACAGTCAGTGATCATGTCAGAGGCCAAAAGTACTGCATCCTGCCTAAAGAACTTCAGTATTTTCTGTTAAACCACTTGTTAATATGTTCACATATACATTCACATGCATACACACACATTCTGCCTTTCAACCATTTCTCAGTTAATTGCTTCCAACAAATAGCTGTTGTACATAAATCAAAGGTGCAAGTTTCATTTTGCTGCTTTTGAACTTTCTGTTTACTGCTTTATTCTCATAAATAAAAAGAATTCCTACTAAGCAGATGATTATTCAAATTTAATATTTGAAAAGTAACTAGTTGAGATAAGAGATCTCAAAAGCATTTAATAATCTATTAAGAGTTACCAGTGCCACTGTGTTTGGAGAGGAACAGCAGGCTAGCAGGGAGAAAAAGCTAAAGCAGGTCTAGATAAGTTTTTCTCCACTCAAATGGAAGCTATTTCTCCACAGAAACGTGCTTTGGTGTGAATGTATTACCAAGGTTCATTCACACTTTTTGATTTCAATTCAGTAGGGTACTTCATCATGTTTAAGGACTGTCCTGATACAAGTGCTTTCCTTAATTGGGCCTTTCCTGTTTACCAGCAACTTATTAGCATGAAAGGAACTATTAATTATTGTGGAAAAGAAATAACTAGGCTAACTGAACATAGACTATAAACAAAAGTCAATAAACTGAGAAATTATAAAAAAATGTATTTTCCTGTTAACTTTTTGAATTGTAGGTGTATTATTGTTTCTAACTGTTGTGGGACATAAAGCTGATTTTCTACTGTGACAGTGACCCTTAACCATATATTGCAAATATATTGCACACATATAAGTAGACCCATAAAACACAATGTGATATTTTCCTTTTCTTAATATGAAATGATGTAAAAAGATAAGGACTATTTCCTGTGTTGCAGGAATGAAGTAGTCTATGTTGCTTTGTTTGGAGATATGTGTCATTGATGTTTTACATATGGCTTTGGAAAAGTAGGAAAAAAGCATTCCAAACACAAAACCCTACTGAGCTACCAGTGAATGAAGGACACTGTACTACTATTATACTGAGATGGAACTTTTTAATACAGAGAAATAAAAGTAATATAATAAGAAGTATAAGAAAAAATAATCATGCCTTAGATCAGACATTCAACTTCTTAACTTTTAAAAATTTTTGCAGGCACTGGAGGATTTTCTGGAACAGAATAATAGGTTGAGGATATTGCCACCTTGGTGCAAGGAAAGCTGTCTAAGCAGAATCGAGTGACTGCAGGAGCACTTGTTGTGCTTGATGTTCATGCTAGGAATGTTCTTGCATCTCCAGTAAGCAAAAAAGTCAAAGATGAGAGTGACTTTGAATGGTTAAGTCAGCTCAGGTGCTACTGGGAGTTAAGTGATACCTCTCAATCCTATTAGAAGGTAATTTCTGTTCAGTTTTTCAATTTCTGCTTCCTTGCTCACGCAGAGAATGGTTACGCCACTGTGAGAATTTCTGCTGATAAGAGAATACCTGTAACAATCATTTCATGGATTGCTAACTAGAATGGCTGGTAGCCAGACATAAACAGTTTTTAATTAAAATTACTTTTTTTCATCACTGCTGAGTCTCAGCACATTTGCTGAATTTTCAGGGAGTGTTACAGACAGAATTTGTTCACTCAAAGACTGTATTTTGGCTTCGTGATTCTGCAGGATTAAGAATGTTATAGGGATGACAATTTTCAGTTAGAGATTTTAATCTGATTTCCTGTCAATAGTATTTTATTTGTGCATTATATTTATTGGAAAAATAACAATGTTTTTACTGGATAGTGGTGGGATACAATATTTTACAGTTATCAGGACAAGATTTCCCTTAATACAAAAGACATTGCACATGAAATTTAAAAAAAAATAATTATATATAGGGCTCATACGTTACCAGAGTAATCAGTTAGACCATAACTACAGCTATTGGTCACTATTGCTTCTGTTTATCTTTTAGAAAGTCCATTAACTTTCTAAATAGCTAGACAAGACAGTTTTACTCAGCAATATGGTTAGTAGGATCTTTTTTAATTAACAGTTTAAAACCTGGTCTTTTTGTTTGATACTTTACTATCTATTAATTTGCAATTTATTTTTTTTAATTTGTGTTGTATTGAAACAAGTGCCTCAGAGCAATCATAAGTCTGCCATGCAGTTGTTTCTAACAGCATTGGGCCTCTTAGAACTTGGGAAATGGTGTTGAGGGTGGGTGTGGATTTTTTTTCAAATGGGTCATAGCCATGGAGTTTTATGACAAATAAGTATGTATTAAAAAAATAGTTAAAGTACATTTGATTAAAGGGATCACTCTATAAGTGTAATTTAACACCAAAACAGAGATGAAATTACTTCTTACTAGTGGTGTACTTGTGCAAACAAGCAGTAACAAAGATTAATTCATAAAAGATACCTGATGTTAAGGTGCAGAGGCTGATTCTCAGTTCTGAATTTTTCTAAGAAGGCATGGAAGCAACAATCTGTTCAGTTAGCAAATGAAGTTAATTTCTTTTCGGAGTGTTGCACAAAATTGGGACATTATTTAAATGTCTTTGGAAGCTTCTGGTAGTCATATCAAGCCCAAAGGTACTTTTTGTTATGCATTGTATTTGATGCACTGAAAAAGTGTGCTTACTTTTTATGGTGTTTCCTAATGTGAAACATCTGGAGCTCACATTCAGCAGTAAATCAGTACTGGGCTACCAAGGTCAGTGTGCCATTTGAAAGTTGAATCATGGCAGGCAGTGAATGCCTTCATTTGAGAGGACATTTTGTTACTCAGCTGAAAGATTAGTAAATGCATACTTGTTAGACTTCTCAATTTGAGGAAAATTGTTAACATTACAAGTACCAACTGTTAGAGAATTATTTTAAACGGTGGACTTTAAAGGAGATCTGCAACTCACACCAACATGAGAGGGGATTCATGAATGATGAGGCTAATACTTGTCAAATTCTGTTTCAGTTGGGCATAGGGACATTCCAGCTTATTTTCATGCTTGTTTTTGGAAAGATGAACAATCTGTTTTCAGTTGCATGTTACTTCCAATATTCTCCTCACTCAAATATCTGTACAAAAGCGTGAAATCCTCAAAAGTGGAAAATAGATCCTTGGATGTAAAAAGCTGCTAATTTTTTCTTTTATTTTATGTACACAGTCAGCTGAATGTGTGTGTACAGTGTCTGTAAGTGTTACTTTATATATATTATTATCTGTGTGTTTCTTATGGCACAAATCCATAATGGATTATAAACTATGATCAACCTGGACACAGTGTGGAAGCATAACCCTTCTTTGCTTTGAATCATTACTTGCTATTACAGTAAAAAATTGTAAAGACTGCATAAATCAGTCAATATCAACACAGAAACAAGTGATAAGGTAAAAACCAATTGTCTTCAGATAACAAGTTATGAAACAGAATATTGCATGAGCTACTGAGTTGCTGAGGTTTCCCTTTATCTTTCTTTGGTGTTTTTTTTTTTCTAAAATAATAACCGTGGAGTGAAGGATCTACCTTTCAGATATTTAATTTATTCTTTGACTTTATATCTAGAGTGACAAAAATGTTGCATCCAAAAAGCTGAAGTTGAATCAAGATGAAGGAAAATTAAAGATTGCTACTGGTCTGAGAAAGAAAGAAGCAGACCTGAGGGAGGTTCAAGATAAGTTGCTGTACTCCACCAGACATGGGAATCCAAGAAGAAAAGAGAAGGCTGACTTGGAAATCAGGTATATGATGCAAAAGGTGAACTATTGTTCTATTGATATCCAGAAAAATGATTTAAAATTTGTTTCTCTGTCAAATAGTATTTTCCCTTTTAACTGGCAATATGTGGAACAAGTCCTACTTTTAGATAACCATCGTTTTATTTTGGTGTAATGGTCCTAAACTTATAAGTGGGCAAAACATGAAAAATAAATGCTTTAGAGTAATAGAAAATGTATATGTTATTAATTTACCAACTGATACCCCTCTCCTACATCCTCACTCATATCTGCTTTCTTGTGAAGAGATAAATTTTCAGTGATTTTACTAAATGTTTGGATTCATCTATTAACCTGCAAGTTAGCACATTAAAAGTTTTTAAAGTATACTTACACCTTCTGTGCTAATGCAATTTTGAGACTGTTTCTGGTAAGCCCTGTTCCTGACTGGTAATTAGCTGCTTATGTGTGCAAAAATTGGCAACATTTGGAAGAAGATTTTATTCTTTTCTTTTCTTTTTTTTTTTTTCTAAGATTTGCAGTACATCAGCTTTCTTTAAATAAATAGAATTGGAATTTGAAATGGAGTCTTAAGCCTTGTCTGTAGTTAGTCAGCTCTTTGTGTGTTTCTTCTGCATTCTGATATAGTTTGGAAGTAGAGGGGAGGGATAAACTACACAGGCAGTTTGTTACTGTGGTGTAAATTGGCTGCTGTGGTTACGAGAAGAGAGGATTGTAACCACAGCAAAAGTTGTCATCATTTTCCTCCTATCCCACGTCTGAAATGGGTCTGTACTAGAGAGTAAAGAATTCTAACAGAGATAGATTAAATTCCTGTTAAAATATATTTTTTTGTTAGATTATAAACCTAACTGGAAAGATGGCTTGTTTAAAAACTGACGACATAAATGTCAGTTATGGATTCACAAGGGTTTTTTTGCAGAAAAGAATGTAACTACTTTTATGAGACAATGTTTTTGGGTTTTTTTCCATATGTTTTTGTTTCTCTTATAACATGTAGATAATTTCCTTGGCTGTTAATATTTTCTGTATTGTATACAGAGCTATTTTGAATTGCATGTTTTTATTTCCTTTAATTATTGCACAGTTTTCTTCCTTTATTTGCATGACACTGTAACTGAATAGACTTTGCTGCGCTGGTCCTGATAATAGTTTTTGTTCTTTAAATGTTTCCATTGTAATAAAAGGTGTTTTCTTTTTATTTGGTGAAATTACTTAAGAAAAACACAGGAAAATAATCTTTGAATGCTTTTATTATTTGTAAAACGTCTCCAAAGTGATCATGTATATAATCAGAGTTTTTTTCCATTCTGAGGTTGACTTATGCAGCAAAAAACTACAATGAACAGAACAATTGATTGGTGGCCTTGGGGATGAGAAAATTCACTGGCATGAGACTGCTTTGGAGCTGGGAAGGTAGTACATCAATTTGACTGGACATACACTTATTTCATCAGGAATTGAACCTTACCTAGGAGCTTTTACATCCAGCTACAGACAAGTGATACGTACAGTGATTTTTGTCCCTCTTTAAAAAAAAAAAAAAATTTAATTAATTTTTCTTCTAATATAAATTTTATATTTTTAAATTATGCTTGCACAGAATTCATAACTGGAACTTTTCTTCCTTAAAGCAACAGTAGTTCAATAACAGCAGAAGCTCAATAAAGCAGATGCTGTTATTGCCCCATCCCTGGAAGTGTTCAAGGTCAGGCTGGATGTGGCTCTGAGCAACCTGGTCTGGTGGAAGGTGTCCCTGCCCATGGCAGAGGGATTGGAACCAGATGATCTTTAAGGTCCCTTCTAACCCAAGCCTTTCTATGATTTGTGCCTGTAACTCTTAGTGAAATAAACAGAAATTCAGAACACAAGAAGATTTTTACATGGCAGATGGTTTGATATGTTGGAAATTCTGGATGTCAAAATTACCCTGACTTTGAGTGTTTTTGAACATCAAAACCTGCCACTGAGTGCAGCTGAAGAAATTAATGTCCATTTATTTTGAAAATCAGGTACAGGTTATCAAAAATTGCTAGAAATTAAGAGAGAAAAAAAGTAAATGTCTGTCATTTGAACACAGAATTTAGATATTGTTCATATTTCCCCTTTTCCTTCAGTGTACTTTGGCCATTTTTCTTTATTTTGTACTGTTCTTTCAAACAATTATTTTCTTGAAAATATCCATGTTGGGATGTTATTATTTTAAAACTTTACAGACTGAGAGTTTATGGCAAGATTATTTATAGGGTAGATAAATAGTCTGCAGTTCCAAATAGAATTCCAAAGTAAAAAATTTTCAGTGTTCTCTTTTATGGTCACAACCTGAATTGTGTATAACATTGTGCCTGGGTAGGCAGGAATACTTCTGGTGAAACATCTTAAGGGGAGCTGAACTGTATTCTGGGCAAGTGTAGCTACAGATGCAAATGATATTCATAAAGGGCAGAGACATCCACATGACTCCTCACAAAAAATGGATGCATAGTGGTTTCACCTGAAAAGTTTAGTGCACTTTCATTCTCTCTGACTGTGTAGTTTCTTTCTCTGTGCAACGCTAGGTATGGATTCCTGGTTGCTTTTCCTTACTCTCGTGATTGGGCATGCACATACTACATAGATATCTCCACCAGACATTGTTGGATAGCATAAACACTTTCGTGCAGTTCTTCGTTTCATCTGCTGCTATATTTTCTTTTCCCCTGCAGTTTTCCTAAGAGGAAAAAGTTACAATAGCTTTTGGAGTATCAACTTTGTTTATGCAAACTGATGAATCCTTCATTCACCCCCTCTGTCGATGTCTCTAGACCTTTGATGTTTCCTTTAATGTTGCATTTTTGTCTCTTTTTTTTTTTGCTGTAAGGCTTTGACAGCTAAATTTTAGTTTAGAATACTACAGCATATTTCTCTGACCTTGTACATAGCTTTCATACAAGATTGTGCCTTTCATATCAATATGCTATTTCCATAAATTCTCCTTCTTTGGAAGCATTCTTCCTAGTGAAATATGCTTCTTGATTTACATATTTCAAGGTGTGTGTCTTCATTATTATTACACATCATACAAAACCTACAGTCTACACAACTGTAGTGAGTTAGATGATAAAGAGCATTACGAAAAGCTATTGAAATGTTTGTTAAGTTGTTAAATTTAGTCAAGTCCTGACAAGTGCAAATTATGTGTGTCCTGAGGGTTAAATAATGAAGCCATTTTTTTCCAATAGAACATATGCATTTGTCCTACACTGATTTCATAGCATAGAAGACTCCTGCTGAAAGGGTAAATAAAATCATGCCAAGGCTCTGAATAAATAAACTTATATTTCAAATATGGAAATCATATACAAAGGCATGTTTAGAGATTTAATACAGAAGAATGAGTTTCTTTTCATTTGAAGATTGTGATCTTGTATATAGCAACTGTTATGGGAAATGGGTTGAAAAATACATTTTAATTAGTTTGAATGTTTTGTGAACAGACAGAACTTCATTTAATATTTGTTTTCTTCTTATTTAGATGCAAAATAGAGAGTGAGTATTGCTGTGTAAAACAAAAGACATTCCTTGTTCTGATGATTTTTCCTGAACAAATAACCTGGGAGAATCAGAGCTTGGAATACTGCTGGACTACCTTCTGACATGTTTCTATTGATAATGGCATCATTGTCTCATAAGTAAAAACAAACAAGAAAACAAACCCCCAGTAAGTAATTTTTTTATAGACAGTTTTCTACTGTATATCCAGTTTAATGACCAACATTATTAAATTACTGTAATGTTTAAATCTATAAGGAATACTAATAATACTTTTAAATTTTTAATGTAAAGTTTTTTTATCTGTGAATTCACTCCCTCCTTTCTAACTCCTATGGATTCCTAAAATGATACTTTCCCCTGTCCCCTGCCCCCCCACTCCCCTATTTTTTTTTTGTGCTTTTTGGTTTGGTTTTGTTTTGTTTTAACAAACGTGCTGCATCCTGGATTCAAGTTAAGACATCTTAAAATGCTTCAGGAATAGAATTCTTAACGCTATTCTTGATGTGCAATCAGTAGATATGGAAATAATTCTCCTTTCAAATCTAAAGGCTTTTAAAGAAATATGCTGACATCAGCTGCTACCATGAAGTATCTACAGATAATGTCTTGATTACTTCTCTTTAAATAGTCTTCCAGTTTATGTTGCCACCTCGTATGAGGTTTAAACATTCTGGCTTGTAACATATTAAGTGTGCAAAGCCCTGACATGTTGGAAGTGTTGGTTTGTACACTGATTAGCTGAATCATCATTTACTAGGGCACAGTAACAAAACAACAACAAAATACCCATGTGTATGAGTAAGGCTTAGGGGAGGTGCTAAAAGCTAGAATGGAGAGAATTTCTAGTCTCCTTTCTTACAGAGGATGATCCCAACCATATGCTCTTGCCAGTTTTTTCCTCTTTTTCTTGCATTGTATTCTATGTACTTGTAAACTGCATCAACAGGAAAAAGTGAGGTAGTCCTTTCCTGCAATAACCTCTGATTTCAGAAATGTGTTGCTATATATCCATGTCACAATCAGTGCAAACATCAGTGATTTGTCTGACAGTGTACAGCATGGGAACTGACCATCTTAATGTTCTATCATCTAGAAATACCCACAGCTCAGCTGCAATTAGCCTTACCTTAATACGCCTACTGATGACTGAGATGGCACCGACAGCTTTGTTGGATGCCAACCTGGAGGCTTGAGGAAGATTCTCTCTCACATTTCAAAAGTAAGTCCTGTCAATATTTAGTTTTAAAATGCTAAGCTTTGTGGCCACGCAGAAGCAGTTAAGATTTTTATTTAGACTTGTGTTTGTTATGACCGTGAACAAAGAACCTCTCAGTTCTGTCCAGCGTGCTTGCCAATGTACTGCTACTGACTTGTAGCTTTTGTTCTTAGCACAGCTGAGGCAGAACTGAGCATGGAACAGTGTTGCTTTAACTGCTTTAACTCTTGTGATGGCTACCCATGTCCTTCACATCTGTTCATTCTATTTCTTGCATAATTTATTCTTATAATTGTTTTCCATAACTAGGTTAATGGGCATCAAGTCTATGATAAGATGTACCTACCATTTATGAATCATTTTACAGTATGCTGCTGCATATGCTACAGTATCCTACTGCACAAACTTACCAATAGAAATCTTTAATTTTCACTACTGTTTACAGGAAAATTCTCCTCACTGTTTGAGGAGTCTGACCTTGGATAGCGCTGTGACTGAATACCTCTTTTATTGTAGGGTGAATGGTAGGTTTCACACATAACCAAAATTGTATATTACAGGTTCACATTTGGAAGTAGAGATGCGTGGATAACACTTCAGCTCTGGCAACCGGATAGGTGACAAAAATTAAACAGGTAAGACAAAAATAAGGCCCTAGCTAAAGAACCTCACTGTATGTTCATCTGGCATTCAAAATTAGCATTGACTGTACTTCAGAAAGCAAAATGGCTTATTGAAGTTAGAGGATATATGCTGGGATTATGATTGTATATGTAACTGTTTTCAAGTAATTACTGTATTAACAATTCAATCACTCTGGCTAAACAGTCAACAAGTGTTAATGAATTCAACACTTCTACAGTACATCCTACCATTTAACTTTTATAAAGCTTTGATCAAAATTCTTTTTGAACTAATGGAAGGATGATTAGCATTTTAAAACTAAATAATGAAAGCTCTTAATTTTGAAAGGTGAGATAGAATCTACCTCAAATTGATGATGCATATTATGCCTGTAGTTATGAGTTTAAGGCTAGATATTAGGACCATAGGAACCATACAGAATGCAACTCAAGCTTTTTGTAACAACAAATTTTCTAAAAAGCAGAATTAGTGAGCAATCCAAGGATAATTTGCAAACATACATAGGGACTGCTTATGCAATGCCATCAATGAAGAAGGATTTTATAGAGATGAAAGCTGTGTGCATTTGGCTGTTGTTAGAGAACTATAATTATTCAGTCTAAAGTATTTTGTGTCTCTTACACAGTATGTCTGAAGTGGAATATGCTGAAAATAATATGTGACTGACACTTGGAAGTAATTGGGGAAAGAAATACTGCAGGTTTTAGCTGAGGTCTTTTCAAATGTTAAATTCCTGTTTTAAAATAAGAACAAGCAAAATTATTATGAAAAATTAAATAAATATAGTCTGGTTTAGACTCTGCTTAACACATAAGTTTAATATGTTCAGTTTACAGTTTGCAATTGCTGCATTGCCTTGTATCATCCTATGCTTAAAATTACCTGGCCATATATCCCTTGGGTCTCCCTTTGGGTCCTCATAAGTGACTGAACCACCTAGAAATCCAGCAATTCTTTCAGTACACTTTTGATCCACTGGTGAACACTGTTACCTACTGTGAGATTTTCTTTCTAGTACTGC